TCTCCCCTTCCCGCACCTCCCTCTCCTCCAGCGCCCTCTGCCCTCCTCCCCTTCTTTCCTCTCCTTCTCCCACGTCCCCTTCCCTGCTCCCTCCACCCTCTCCCCTCCCCCGACCTCTCTTCTGCTCCCTCATTCTCCTTCCGCCCCCTTCCCTTCTCCCCCCACCCCCTCCCCTCCTGCGGCCCCTTGGCAGTTCGGGCACTCACTGAACGCTGAATGCTGGCCCCAGAGAAGGTGCTCACAGGCCAGTCCTGCCTCTGGGCTCCCCCAAACCCTGTGGGCGGCGCGCGGGACCCTTTCCCCGGGGAGGGCCCAGCGCACTTCTTCCCTCTAGATGTTCCAGAAGGAGAAGGCGGTGCTGGACGAGCTGGGCCGACGCACTGGGACCCGGCTGCAGCCCTTGACCAGAGGCCTCTTCTGAGGGAGCTGCCGGCTGCGTTCCTCCCGAGAGCAGGAGCGGGTGGGAGGCGGAGGCGCAGGCAGCCGGGTTCGCCGCTGCGCCCCAGCCCGGCAGCTCACAAATAAACAACGAATGAAAGTACTGGGGGAACCTCCTCTTTATTTCATGGCACAACGGGTATTTTTCATTATTGTCAATAAAACAGTTCCGAGCTGTAGCACCGGGAGGGTGCCTGGGAGTACCGTGCAGCGCTCGCCTCCTGCCCTTCCCGGGTGCCCCTGCCTGGAGCTGCGCCCTTCCCTGGAACCTGCGCCCTTCCGGGGGGGGCCCTTCCTGTTGGCCCCTGCCTGCAGCCTGCGTCCCATTGAGGAAGGGGCTGATGGGGCTCGGGTGCCGCAGCCCGTCCTTCTGTAGGAAAGGCTTGCAACAGTATTTCCTGCTTTACTTCCTGAGTATTGGAACAGTGGAGTCAACTCTGAAGTTTCCGCACCAGCGCACGACTCTTCAACCGGGAGGGCGCTGGTTCCCCGGGGCCTCCTGACGCCGCCTCCTGGCCACGACACCGCTGTGGTCAGGGCCAAGGCCCTGGGGCCCTATGTTGTGGGACCGCCTCTCAGAGACCCTCGTGAGCCCTAAAACTGGGGCTACTGCAATTATGATCATGTTTGTCCCATGAAATGATGTAGGGACATGAAAATGCCTCCCCACTGGACTTGACCCCTCGAAGACACAGGCCAGGCCCCTCTGTTCCTGAAGTCGCTGCACCCTTCGACGGAGAGGTTCTGTTTACTGTGGAACCATAGCTTAATGTCAAAAAAGTACTCCTGAAAATAGGAAACGGAGTCAGCTTTAACTCAAGCTTCTCACAAGAACACAGTCGAGAATCACTTTCAAGAGCCCTTAAGAGACTGAGGGGCCTGGAGAGCTGCCAACTGTGGGTGGGATTTTGAGGGTTCCTACAGTTTGCTGTTAGAACGGAGCCCTGGGAGCCTCTGTTCACATTCTGGGGCACTCAGGGCTTCTCAGGAATTCCTGGGCGCTCAGGGCGTGGGGGGGTCTGGCTTTACTGGGTTATCGCTGGGCCACTGGTGCCTCCAGCAGCCCACAGCCAGCGACTGTGGGGCCCAGGCCCAGCCTGGGTGGTCCCAGTCCTCTCTTGGGCGGGGTCTCTGATGTGCACTGGGGCTGCCCTGTGTCCCCATCATCAGTGAGTCTATCTCTTCTTTTTTTTTTTTTTGACTGAGGGTAGCTCTGTGGCTTAGGCCGGAGTGCAGTGGTGTGATCTTGGCTCACTGCAGCCTCTGCCTCCTGGGTTCAAGCAATTCTCCTGCCTCAGCCTCCTGAATAGCTGGGATAACAGGCATGCACCACCATGCCCTGCTAATTTTTTTTTTTTTTTTTTTTTTTTGTATTTTTAGTAGAGACAGGTTTCACTATGTTGACTGGGATGGTCTCAAAACTCCTGACCTCATGATCCACCTGCCTCAGCCTCCCAAAGTGCTGGCATTCCAGGTGTGAGCCACCGCGCCCAGCCTACCTCTTCATCTTTATCCCCTCTGCTGTAAGGGACTGCTTGTGTTTTCTGCCTTTTTTATTTTTATTTTTTTATTTGGAGGTATTGTCAGTTGGAGGTATTTATATGTATTATTGAACACAACCCTGTTTTTTTTGTTTTTGTTTTTTGAGATAGAATCTCCCTCTGTCACCCAGGCTGGAGTGCAGTGGTAGGATCTTGGCTCACTGTAACCTCTGTCTCCCAGGTTCAAGCCATTCTCCTGCCTCAGCCTCCTGAGCAGCTGGGACTACAGGTGTACACCACCACACCCTGCTAATTTTTGTGTTTTTGTAGACACAGGGCTTCACTTTGTTTACCAGGCTGGGCTTGAACTGCTGACCTCAAGTAATCTACCCACCTCAGGCTCCCAAAGTGCTGGGATTACAGGCATGAGCCACCGCACCCAGTGCAATCCTGTATTTCTTTTTTTTAGACTGATTCTCCTGCCTCAGCCTCCCAAGTAGCTGGGAGTACAGGTGTGTGCCACCACACCCTGCTAAGTTTTGTATTTTTAGTAGAGACAGGGTTTCACCATGTTGGCCAGGCTTGTTTCAAACTCCTGACCTCAGGTGATCCACCGGTCTCAGCCTCTCATAGTGCTGGGATTATAGGAGTGAGCCACCTCAGCCTCTCATAGTGCTGGGATTATAGGAGTGAGCCACCGTGCTCAGCAACTCTGTATTTCCTTAGGAAGTGTGAGCAAGTGCGCTCTGACCTGAATCTGAGGAAGGGCCGCCCATGGCCCCGGCAGCAGTGGCAGCATCGCCTGCTGCCTGTGCAGTGGCAGTCTCCTGCTGTAGGGACCTGGTAGTTAGGAGGGGGGTTCACAGGTCACTGTTGCCGAGCCTGCCCTCAGCCACACTGCCCTGATTCTGGAGCAGGTCCCTCCTCATCCTTCTGCTCCCGAAGTCACCCGGCCCTTCACCTTCTGTATGTTTCAAATTCAGCTCCTCCTGGACTCTTGGTTGGAGTTGCATTAAATCTGTAGATCCGCTGACCTCACGGAGGCTGTGACCTGTGCATATATGATGCCTTAGTCCCTGGGTTTTCACCTCTCAATGATTGTCACCAATCTTACCAGTTGTACAGGTGTGCACAGTGTGCCCTGAGCCCCCACCTCCCAAACCCCCTGCTCTCCTGACCACAGGCAAGGAGGTGGGGCCATGAAAAGCCCCACTCCTATCAGCTTCCAGGCACCCAGACCCCAAAACCCCTGCCAGGCAGCCCAAGCCCACTTTCCGGGCCTGCTCTGAGCTCCTCAGCCTCCCCAGGGAGACCAAGGGGGACTGTGTATGGGGGTGAGATCATCCCCTGCCCCACCCCCAGGCATCACCCCACCACCCCTGAAGGCCAGTCAAGGCTCAGCCAGCCCAGCTGTGCCCTAACTGGACACTGCTGGATGCCAGGGCCCTTCATCCCTACGAACCCAGCAAGACCAGGCCACCCAAAGACCACCACTTCCTGCGAGGTTTCTTCCCTCTGTTGTATGAAAAATTCTGTTGAGAAATATTTAATAGAAGGAAATCAAAATGCCATGCTAGAAAAAATCACCATGAACATAGGAAATGGAGTCAGAACTTTGACTTGAGCTTTTAACGAGAGCACAGAGTCTCTGGAATCACATTCAAGAGCCGCAAAAAGATGGTTCTGTGAAGTGTTACAACCAGCAGCTGCACTGGCCCGTTTGGTGCTCACACCTGTCCCTCCATGTGGACTCCATGTGGCTCACCCCGAGGAGTCCTGAGGCCAGGTCAGCCAGAGTGGAAGCTCCTGCAGCTCAGTGGCAACTCTCTGGTCATCTGGTCTCGGACCTGCAAGCTTCCCAGGATGCAAACACTGGGACAGGGTCCCTCCTCCTGCGGAGCTTCAGGAATGAAGGAATGTGTCCTAATAGGAGGTGAATGAAAATTTATGCATAATACCTAAAAATATTTAAGTAACATTAAAACAGCAAGGAAACATAATTCCACCAAAAAAGTAAAGTAACAACAGTTAAAGGAATAGTCAAGGTAGCCTATCCACATGGTAAGAAACCCTGACAGCACAGAAAGAACTGAACTGGGGAGAGTGAGCTGCCCTTGGCGCACCCAGTGCCCACCTTTGCTTCCCGGGCACAGAAGGAAACTGGCGAGAGTGAGCCAAGGTTCCCCCATCCAGTGCCCACCTTTGCTTCCCGGGCACAGAAGGAAACTGGGGAGAGTGGGCCGAGGTTCCCCCACCCAGCGCCCACCTTTGCTTCCCGGGCACAGAAGGAAACTGGGGAAAGTGAGCCACCCTTCCCCCACCCCGCGCCCACCTTTGCTTCCCGGGCACAGAAGGAAACTGGCGAGAGTGAGCCGCTCTTCCCCCACCCCACGCCCACCTTTGCTTCCCGGGCACAGAAGGACACTGGGGAGAGTGAGCCACCCTTCCCCCACCCTACGCCCACCTTTGATCTCCAGGAATGAGAGCTGTGCAAACCAGCATGCAGCAGTGTCTGCGTTTGCAGCATTGGCACTGTCCCTTTTGTTTCGTTTTAACTCAAAAGGGACCACATCATGCACAGCTGGCTTCTTTCACTTTTTTATTTTTTGAGACAGGATCTTGCTCTGTGGTCCAGACTATAGTGCAGTGCCTCCATCACAGCTCACCGCAGCTGCTAACTCCTGGGCTCAAGCAATCCTCCTGCCTCAGCCTCCAGAGCTGCTGAGATCACAGGCGCATTTCACCACACCTGGTTAGTTTTTTAAATTTATTTTTTGTAGAGACAGGGTCTTACTATGTGACCCAGCCTGGTCTCAAATTCCTGAGCTCAAGTGATCCTCCTGCCTCAGCCTCCTAAAGTGCTGGGATTACAGGCGTGAGCCACGCACCCCCACTTCTTTGGTGGTGTCTGTTCCACACCTGCGGCAAACAGGCCCCAGTTATTAAGTTTGACTTTGTGGTATTTTTCCCATCAGGATGTTCAGACTTCCATGTGGCTAAAGGTGTTGGTTGATCTTTTCTATTCTGGTTCCTGAGCTGAAGCTTTCTTAAACTCTTTCTGGATGGAATCTTTATTTCAGGATCCTCATCTGGTGGCGTCCACAGCCTGGACTTTACCTCTGTGATGGAAGAGGGGGACCTGAGGCTCCAGGTGGGCTGGTGATGCCCTACAGGAAAGGAGGGATCCCTGGGAGGGGCTGCTGCCCTGGGCAGGTTCACAAGCCCCTCACCGCAGGGGTCCCAGAGCAAGGGATGCCATGAGCCGAGCCGCCAGGCCGAAGCTGCCTGCCGTGCACCACCACCACCACTCCCCTCACCTGCCGCCGGGCAGGGAAGGACCCTGCCCCTTTCCATGGTCCTGGCACAGCCCACAGCCCCGAGGAAGCCTAGGGGTGGAAGGTGCCTGGCCAGGGTTCCTGTGACTCACGCTCAGGGTGGGCCGGGCATCCACGGGCTGGGCGTGGACTGGAGGACAGTGGCAGCCCCCGGCGGCCACGCGGTATGGTGGTGGTGGTGGTGGTGGTGGTGGTGGTGCACGGCAGGCAGCTTCCGCCTGGCAGCTCGTGGGACCCCCGGGGCCACACGTGGCGGGTCCTGACACAGATGCACCTGTGGCTTAGGACTCAGCCCAGGCTGCTCCCATCCCCACTCCTACCCTGTTCCTAACTGGGGCCGGGTCCCCTGTGATAGGCAGGATGGCGGGAGTCTAAGCATCCTCCCAGAGGAGGCCCCTCCCCATACCCAAATTGTGCAACCCATTCCTCATCGGGGCTGGGATTCATGGGGATGGGGGCTTCACGGCCAGACTGCAGACCTGAGCCAGGAATGCTCTTTCAGAGCTACACAGATGCAGACATTTCCAGAGTAAAACCCCCCAGGCCCTCTGTTTCCTTGGCTTTGGGGTCTGCTCAGGGATCACCCTACCTGCAGGGCTGGAGGCAGGGCCTTGAGCATCCAGTTCTGCAGGACCAGCTGGTGCACCTGTGCATTCTGCAGCAGCAGCAGCTCCACCATGTCTGCAGGGGAGACCCGGGGGCCCTGAAGAAAGCTTCCATTCCTCATATTTGTTAAGGTGACAGTGCATTACAAGACCAGAGAACACATGTCTGTGCACTGTGCAGGTCCCCGGGGCACGCTCCAAATTGTAGAACTTCAAGGTCAGAGAGTGTAGATGTGGAAAGTTGTGTGATGGGCCCCATGGCACCCTAGGAGGCTACTCTCATCTGCCTTCCCGTCTCCTCCCCCAGGCTGCGTGGGGACCCCAGAAAGGCACACCCATGTCACAGTCTCCCCGCACCTCAGGGTGTGGCCTTATTTGGAAAAACAGTCTTTGCAGATGTCATTAAGGATCATGAGATGGGCCAGGTGCAGCGGCTCCCGCCTGTAATCTCAGCACATTGGGAGGTCAAGGTGGGCAGATCACCTGATGTCAGCAGTTCGAGACCAGCCTGGCCAACATGGTGAAACCCCGTCTCTACTAAAAATATAAAAATTAGCCGGGCATAGTGGCAGATGCCTGTAATCCCAGCTACTCGAGAGGCTGAGACAGAAGAATTGCTTGGACTCAGAGAGCAGAGGTTGCAGTGAACCGAGAATGCACCACTGCACTCTGTCTGAGTGACAACAGTGAAACTCATCTCAAAAAAAAAATTTGCAGGCCGGGCGCGGTGGCTCAAGCCTGTAATCCCGGCACTTTGGGAGGCCGAGGAGGGTGGATCACAAGGTCAAGAGATCGAGACCATCCTGGTCAACATAGTGAAACCCCGTCTCTACTAAAAATACAAAAAATTAGCTGGGCATGGTG